AATTTTCTCCTTTTTTGGATTTTTTTAATCCACGTTTTTTTGCCTCTGACGAATCAAACCCCTGTATTCTATCCATCCTTGGCCACATCTGATGGCTTTCCAAGAGCCATGTTTTAACCAATCACGTATTTCCCATTTCCACTCCCAATTAATAGGTTTAAAGTGAACTTAGAATCACTCATGATTCTAAGTTGTGATATAATAGTGAGAAATTACTAACAAATAGGACTCTTGCTCTGCTCTATATTTCCCTAATCCAATTTAATGATAAAACTTCTTCCCATTCCAAGTGAAAACAGAGGGGACATTTAGAGGTTCAAAGCTCGAGAGCTACATTTTTTGAGTTAACGTGAAAGCAGAGGGGTCTTGATTGTGGATAGAGCTTGATGTCAAACAGAGGAAGACCAAACTTCTTTTGCATAAACTCTTAATACCAGGTATGTTTTTTGAGCCTGTTTGTAACAGCTGGCATCATTCCATCAAGCAACCACAGTTCCACCGGCGTAAAACATTGTAAAAGGAATGGATCATGTTGGATACTGTGGTTTCTACTGTAGAGCATGTAATCAAGTGGAATAGTCGGTTCTCATATTTTTAGTCTATGGAAGAATGGATTTTGATGTTGGGAGTTGCTGGTAGAGGATCCCTGTTGGACAGAGTTAGAATCGTTGTTTTTTTTTTTTTTTTTTTACGTAGCATTGGACTTTGGAGTTTGGAGAGATTTTACCTGTACAATTGATACAAGAGGCGTTTATGTTTCTGCTGTGTGAGTTGGGTCGTTGTGCATTTTACAAAGAACAATAAAAAACAGGCACATACTCAGTTTTCTCTCCAAGGTTTTGGGTGAAAAATGATCCTCTATTACTGTGGTCAGCGTTGAAATTTGTGGCTTATGCATCCAATTTGGCTCACAAACCATGAACAAGAGTGCATTATACCCCCCATTCGCTACTGTGGCCGCTAAGTCAAGCGACCACTGTAGTAACTTCGCGGGTTAAGAAGACAGGTTATACGGATCAGATCATGGACTTCACAACCCGAATCCGCTTTCACAAACCCGTCCTACTGTATATAATGTCATTTATATATAGTTATCGTAATTTAATTAATTTCAAAAAAACCAGTCATTTTTGAAAAATATCATGAAATATTGTAATCTATAGTTACTCTAATAAGTTTTGGGAAAATATTAATTTAATAGAAATTAATAATTCTCAAAATTTATCAAAAACAACTTTGGTAATTTTGAAAGTTAATAATTCAATAGAAAATTAGAACTTACCAAACAATATTTATTTATAAAAATTATTTATTTACAAACCTGTGATAAATTATTTGTTGTTATTTAATTAATTATTGACAATTACTAGAAATTAGTGTAATACACACACCAGTCTAGAAATTTTCTCCTTTTTTTGAATTTTTTATTTTTTTATTCCATGTCATTTTTTAAACAACCAATGAGATGCTCTCCTTCCCCATAAAAAATTACCTAAAATCTCTCTCTCCCCCCCACCACACCTTCTCGATAACCTAAATGATATCCTCTCCTAAAATTTCTCTTAAACTACCTGCCCCACTATCCCCCACTTTATCCTAAATTATCTCTAATTCCTATTTATCCTCTCCCCCACTTTTTATCAATAGTTGTCTACAGTTTGAATTAAAAAATTAACAAATTATTTAAATATTGTAACAAAATTATATAATAACTTTAAAACATTTATTAAAAACACAAAAATTAGTTATAGTAGGTCTAATAATATTCATATTATTAATAATTTTATATTTCTACAAAATTCATCACGAAATTATGTAGTAACAATAAAATTATGGTTTCTGGATTATTCGACTTAAATAATAAAAAAATTACATTAAAAAACAAAATATTATTTAAATATTTCAATAACTAAATATCTTAAATAACAAAATATTAAAAATATATAAATAATTATATAATAAAATATTTAATATTATATAATAACTTTGAAACAAACCGACTAACCATTAGTTAAAACCGGCCAACTCGGAGTGTATCATTTTGGGTCAATTTTTAGTTTGTCTGGTCAGTTCAAAAGGTTTAAATTTAAAAAATTAAATTTAAATTAAAAAATATATAGTGGCATTATTAAAAATAAATTTAAAAATTAAATTTATGATATAAAATATTCTAGACTAAGAAATATGGGAATTTCCCATTTTCCCGTATTAAAAAATTAGGGTAAAATACAAAATCCTCCCCTGAGTTTTCTTGCAATCATAAAAACCTCCCTTATGTTTATACTTTAGCAAAAGCCTCCCTTGTACTTTTTAGAAAATATGCAACTTCCTCCCTTCCTAGACAGAAAATCCGACCTAATGTATTTTTTTTTAAATACCTATTTTGCCCTCCCTCCAAAACATTGTTCATTTTCTTCCTAAGAAGTAAGAACTCGAGGCCATCGGCCTTCCATCGCATACCCATGGCCATGGCTTCTCCTAAACAAAATCAATTCCCAAGAGCTTGAGACATGGTCTATCAATATATCGCCCCCATTCCCTCTCTCCCTCTTCAAACATAGTCTACAGGAAAAATGAAAGTTTGCAAGATGGGGTTGCTTTATAGGAAAAACAAAAGGTTGCAATTGGGCTGCAACTCGTTACAGTATTCAAATGGCCAAATGGGTACTCAAGCCTAAAATAGCTAATAGTTTTGCTATATTTTTCAAGGGTCAATGATGAATACCTTCTAAGTGTAATTTCTAACCGCTTCATGATTCAGTAATGGGTTTGGCATGAAGCTTAATTTGACTGATGGGTATACTTTGAATAATTCAGTTTTAAGAAGAAAGAAAAAAGAAATTTCCAATACAAAGTTGAAAAGGGATTCATCTCATGGAATTAAACAAAATCGATAGATGCCACAAGTGCTATTGGGACTCGATTAGACATCTCTCATCACTACTCCAGCTTACATAAGGTGTGCCATCGTCTTCCACCAATTCATGTTTTGTCTCCGAAATCACCCCTTTTCATGGACATTCAACTTTTACATGCTTGACAGGTATAAGCTAAATACCTTGAGACACACTCAAGACAAACTTGTTAGCTATCGTAGATGTAGTCTTCCACCAATTATTCGTCTCTACAAGTCTAACCTTGTCCGATATTCAACTTTGGAATTATTGGCGCAAAGACAAAGAGGTCGAAATGCAAGCTGTGTTAGCTAAATACCTTGAAACACACTCAAGCTGGCCTCACTGTAGCAACTGGTGAGGCCGAGATACCACCATGTTTCTCATTTTCCTTGTATGGTGGTGGGTGTTTGTGAAATTGCAAGCGAAGAAGGAATTGACAAAGACTCGATCGAGTGGAGATGGTGCACGAGATTAGGAAGGCAAAAGAGGCAAAAGCCGAGATGTAGCCAAGGCTAGACAGAAGGCCGAGGCGGAGAGAGAGAGAGAGAGAGAGAGAGAGAGAGAGAGAGAGAGATGACGACTCTGGTTCTCCGTTATTGGGAAGAAAATGAACAGTGTTTTGGAGGAAAGTTTAATAAATCTACGTCTAAAGAGATATGCATAAGGGCAAAATAGGCATTTTAAAAAATCAAACACATTATTTCAGCTTTTTTGTATAGGAAGGGAGGTAGTTGCATATTTTCTAAAAAGTACAGAGGAGGTTTTTGCTAAAGTATAAACATAGAGGAGGTTTTTATGATTGTCAGAAAACTTAGGGGAGGTTTTTGTATTTTACCCAAAAATATATTAAAAATATAAAATATTAATATATATCTATGGTTGAGTCGTTCAATTTTTGTCGATTTACAAATGGCCAAAGCAAAACTATTCCAACTTGGTCGGGTTGGGAAATTGTTGAACCAGAGCCGACTAGAAATACGAGTTGGTCAGGTTGGTCGGTTTCATCAGTTTGATGAAAAACCCTGGCTGAAATTAATTGTTGTTATTTCTGTATTGTAAAATATTATTAAAAGTAGTATATAAAATATAAGGGAAAATCTATGATGCGGGAAAGATATGGTATCGAAGAGTTTTGACCAATCAAAATCCACCCATGAATTTTGACAAATAAAACCTGATTGGCTACCATGCTTATGATACCAGTTGATTGGTAAAAAATTTTCAGATATCATATCTTTCCCATATTATAGTTGAACCCAAAATATAAATAATTATTAATTATTTAAAAAGTTGAAAATATAAGACAATTGTATACTCTTATGTGTTTCTATTGTTTAGCTTTTACTTAACAAATCCCATGCATCACACGGGTCCCTGCTAGTATATAAAAAATAAAACCAGTTGGCTGCAGCAAGTACATGTGCCCCTCTTAGTTTTGGTATAGAAATCTTCACTAGTTACCATGTCAATGCTTTGGTGCAATACGAATAAAATTAATATAAAGCAGGCATACAAATAACAACTTGGTAAAACATATGAATGCAAAACAATTATGAAGGAAAATGCTCAAGCTAGCAAAGCAGTTTTGAAAAAGATTTTAAATTACAGATTCAAAGTAATAAAATTGTTCAGGATACAGCATTTGAAGTTAGGTTCATCAAACATGAAGCCTAAGGAGAAAACTGTCAAAAGAGTGAAAAAGGAGTGCAATCAATGATTATTGTATAAGTTGCATTCAAAACCATTCATGTTATCCATTACCAATAAAGAGCAAAGCAATTTTGTGGAGCACTAACTTGATATTCAAGACCAGAGAAGGGAAATTGAAGAATACATTATTCCTTGGGTAGCAAATTATTCAGTAGTAGTAACAAACAAAATGTATAATACATTATATGGCAATAATGAGATCAGAAGTGCTCTAGAAAGACCACATTTGCATAAGTTGTGAAAACTATACCCGAAAGGCACATTTTATGTAATAGCAAAAATGAACCATTGACTTATATGACTACATCCTTATTCCTGTTACCACTTCAACCATAAATGAATAATCCTACTCTAAGTGAAACTTTCAGCCAATGCAGAAACTATAGTTTATACCTTTGTCTTTGCTGCCAGACGGTAAATGTCAGGAACATCAGACTGCTTGTGGTGTTTAGGATATGCCACTTGACCATACAGATCATATTTATCAATCAGTTTGATTATTGAGATTAGAACAGATGCATTAGTGCCTGACATTTCATCAATTTCATCTCTGTTACCCATTATTAATGTCTGCAACAACAGAAAACATGGTAAAACTTTTACCAGCCAGACAATGAATAACCTGCTTCAGTTCATTTTCAGTTGTTAAGAAAATTTTGAAAGGAGTTCTATTTTATGGTAAATCTGAAATTAAGCTCATTCCAATGTTTTTTTTTTTATTTAAAATCAAGAATGGGTCCTAAAATGCAAAGGAAACCCAAACTGAAACCACTCTTATAACAAGGTATGAGGAAGATATGTAAGTTCATCCAACAGAGCTAAAAAAATGGGGAAACGTGAAAGACATACAAGATTAGCGAGCTCCCTTAACGGACGACATTCCCCAAATGCTTTCACCAGAGTTGTAATGTTCTTTTTGGGGTCCGGCCTAGCAAGAGCAAGGATCATAGGCTTGCGGGGATTGGTGAAGAAGCGCATTATCTGCCAAATATAAGAAGATAAACTCAAAAATGATAATGAAATCATCTCCAGCAAAAGAAAATTAATGATGAAGTTCTACAAGCACAAGTTCAAATTGAAACAGTGATTCTAAAGAAATGGCCTCACAGATTAAATATCATTCAAATAACTATAGGGCATAAGTAATGGAATATAAGATTTTAATAAGGAGTTATTAAACCTCAGACCAAATTGGCGGGTCTGGAGAAGCTGGACTATCTTCATTTCCTTCTACTTCACCATCCATATCACCATCATGTGGAACAATGTGGTGGAACTCCATCCCAGGAGGAATTATCTGCCAATATTATTAAAAAATATTTGTTTTTTTATGAGGGTATATTATGAATTAACAAGGAGTAAATGACTGGACAAGGAGCCTATAATTATGGAGATTGTTGAAGCTTTCTGAAAGTTCCTATAAAGAATTTAAGAAAGCATGAGCGTATACTTACAACCATGCGAGGCATGAACCTGCCATAACAGTTCACATTTCGCCTGATCCTTGCTCGCAATTTGCGCTCAAGTATTGGATCAAAACCATCATACAGACGCCATTGCTCTTCTATCTCCTGTCTAGTACTAGTGATAACCACTTCTGATGAATCAAGGGCTAGCTCTTCGGCCTCTATACGTCGCATTATTTTATATGTTGCATTTATTTCTTCCCTTGATTGGCGTCCTTGTTTCAGAAGTTGTTCTAATTTATCTCGCCCAAGCGAATGGCCAGTGAAAAGCATTGGTACATTTAAAGCCCCAGATAGCAGAGCAGCAGAATCACCTGCATCTGCATAATGTCCATGAATAGCAACTGGCCAGATTGGTTCTCCACCACCAATTTGCTCCCCAAGAACTTTGGACATCTGTATTATGTGGTTTAGAGCACCATCAACAAATTCAGGTATGTGAGGCCATAGGAGTTCCTTTTGGATATACTTATCTCTTGACCCAAATGGTATACGAATAATATAAGCACCACTACTCTCTCCCATCTCATCCATGAAATGTTCAGAGCCTTTTGGAGTCAGCATCTCTGTTGGTTCACCATAGCTCCAATCTACTTCTGGTGCTGAAACTTGTCGGGTTAGCAAATCAACCCGGTATACTCCTGGCATTGAGCCTAAGGCTCTTGCAAGTTCCACAACATACTTAACCTAATAATAGGAGAATATTTATGTATTTCAGTAAGTAATTCTCTAAATTTTTACAGAGGATGTATCAAAGAATTACTGATAGATGAAAAGCAAAGGACTTAAAGGAATGTATTTTAGGACCAAAAGCCACCTGACCACCAGTATCAGAATCACGCCCAAGCTCCATATTTTCTCCTCGAATAAGACCATGAAGGCTGCACAAACATTGATTGTTGACGAAAATGAATAAAGATGCCATCAAGTAGGTTAGGAAGAATGTAAGATACTATAATGAGATATCAGGATAAAGGAGACCTAGAAAGGCAAAAAGATCAGCAAGTTTGCAGTTTATTCCCAAAAACCAATAAATTCTATGTAGATCAACAAGATTTTAAATCTCAGTTTTGACATCAATTTGGTCATGAAATGATATGTCCAAATTTCAGTACTTCTTTACTATCATATTGAAGCACAACAGATTTTGTTAATGTGTAGTTTAAATTGACCAAATCTTGAAATTGAAAATATAAACTCAGGTTTTCATGAAAATTTAGTGTTAGAGGTATAATTCCATCACATACTGAAAAAGCATGCAAACAATAATTCCAGAGGATCATTATTGATTAAAATGTGACACCAACAGAGCATTATACAACTCTACCTAAAGAAAAAAGCTTAAAGCACAAAAGTTTAGCCTATGCCTTATTAAAACAATGTAGAGCTTTTTTGCCTTCTGCTGACTAGCCCACGTCTCCATTACATCCACAGAACTGATTCTAGGCATTCTGCCTCTATTGCTATCACCATGAGCTGAAATGTCACCAGCAGCATCTCCCTTCTCTCCTTCTGATAAGTCCTCTGACATATCAGCGGTTGCTTCTCTGCGGCCTCTTTCCCGCTCAAGCCGGTGCTTAGCCATACGCTGAGCCTCCTCTCCTTCAATCTGCACCGCAAATGGAATTAATTATCATTAGGAAATAATAACAAAGTTAATCCACATTTTGGAAATATCAACCATAAAGCGGAGCTCTACCTACTATGCCATACAATGGTGTGATGTGGGTCAAAGGCTGAGGAAAGTCAAGTCAAATCCATTCTTTCCTCTAGATCTTTATGGGCCTTCAAGTGGTTCTCTACTTCTCTTGATGAGCCAACAACCAGGTTTTAAGAAATCCATGTGAAGCCAGATCAATTCCTGGGTCTAAAAATATTCACCAGCAAGCCCAAGCCTAATATATTATTAATTTTCACCCCAAGACCCACAATATTGAGCCTGTTTAAGCAAGCCCAAGAAATTGGTTAACAAGTCACATGGATCCCATATGACATGAAGAGGATTTAATCCCAAACAAATCTTTTTTTATAGGTATATTAACCCCAAAGAAATCTTCTCGATATTCTCATATCAAATCTTTAAGTGGAATATCAGGATTTTCTGGACATCTTTAGGATTTTCAGTACTTAGAAGATTTCTCTGTAGCAAAGTTTTCTCCTTGTATTTACATTTTAGGGAAATACATATATTGTTTTTTTTTCGAAGGCAAAGTAATCTATTGTATTAATATTGTATACAAAAGAGCACATCAGCCCATGTACAATGAGAGCCTGTGCATTACGAATATACGAAACATAGGGGATCAACCAAAGAAAGGACCAGCTTGCAAAAAAGAACTAAGTTGGGCACCCTATAATAACCCATGAAAATACTCTTCTGAGATTGAATGAATAAAATAATGTTTTTTTCTACCAAAGTGTTTGAACTTTAAATTTAACTCCATCTCTAAATGCAGACTCCTAGAGACCTAGTAGTTTTGATTCCATTAGGACCTATCTTTAGTTTATGGCAGGTAGTTTATTTCTTGATTGAATATTAGTTGACTGAGTTTCTATTATTATTATTTTCAGATTTGCTATTTCTATTGCTTTTCTCCTTAATTGCTAAATCATCCTCCTACTCTTTAGTTCTCTTTTATTATTCTTTCAGTACCCTCCTTTATCCACTTGTTGGTTCTACTATTAAGTTTATGTATTCCATAAACAACATAACCCAGAGTCCCAGACATGTTACCCTTTTGTTTTTGACTTTTTTTTTCTGATTTTTGAACACTTAGTTCTGCCTAGATTCTTTTACACTAAGGCCCTGTTTGTTTTCACTTACCTGGGTAAGTATGTTTACCCGGGCAAGTGTTTCCCAGGTTTCACTTGCCCGGGTAAGTGAGTTCAACGTTCTTGTGCAATACACATTACCCAGGCAAAGAGAGAGGCGGGAGGGAGAGTGCATTATTGGCGTGCAGGTAAGTTACTTACCCACCTTCCAGGAGGGTATCGGGTACCTGGGTAACTGATACTCCGGTATCTTGGCTTATCGTGGGACCCAATATAGTAGCATATGAATGCAGGGATTGTGGTCAGTTGCCCGTTTGAGCAACTTATCCCCTGCTAAATACCGGCAAACAAACAGGGCCTTAAGCTAACCTCAAGCAAGCAAGATGACAGGTTTATGATATCTTTCCAGCTTCATAAAGATCCTTCTCAACCCAATGTTTTTTGCTTTTTTTTAATAAATGATAGCATTTTATTAATAAAAAGGGATTACATCAATATTTAGAAGACAAACTAACCCAATAGGGATGCAAGGTGCGACCCCATTCTACAATGACCCAAATTACAACTGAGCCAAGAAAAGTTCAGACTTAAACCTACTGTTGCAATTTCAGACTTGTTTTCCCTTAGATATTCATGGAAACCTCTTGATTCCAGGTTAGGTTTTCATCCATTTGTCTATTATCCAGGCATCATGGAGATCATGAGAAATTTCAACACTTCAATATATAACATACAGGATTTAATTTGACCAAGAATATGCAGCCATAAAAAGTTCCTATTAATTTGACAAGGACAAAATTGAAGAATCGTGTTAACAAAGATTAAAAAAAGGCCATAACCCAAAGTTGGTCCCGACTATCTGGGGTCTTGGGAGGGGTAGACTGGATATGGTCCTAACCTTTTTTTTTTTTTTTGCACAAAGTGGCTGCTCTCAGACTCATCTCATGCTTGCCAACCTGAGATTTTACCATTACACCAAGTAATGGGCCCTATCTTGTTAACATAGATAAAGATAAACGACTAAAATTCTTTTTCAGTCTAACTGTAACATCTTAGCTCATATTACTAGGAAGTAAACAATTGTTTGTTGTAAATATCAACAATTATTGTTGATACTGTAAAATGTGAACGAAAGGTTGCATAGAGACACTACTTTCTTTTTTTGGTAACAATAGAAATTCAACTTTCAACTATTCTATTTGATGTAAATCATACATCGTTTTTTTTTTTTTGATGAATATGTAAATCATACATCATTTCTGATAGAGGGAAACCATATCTAGATATCCAAGAAGGGCATTTACATTAATGGATTACAACTAACACAGATAACATGAGAGCAAAAGGGTTCGGAAATAAAAATAGATATTTTTGAGGGATATGCCATACATGCCATAAGTCTAAAACAGGATATCTGTAATTATTGCTGAACTTTGTGAGAGGAGATTTAGGCATTTTTTTCTTTCTGAGTGTGTTGTGCATTGCAAAATTTGTAGGAATCCTCTGGGTTTTGTTTTCTTAATTTATTTTCCTGTGCTCTTTGATTTTTTATAGTAAATAAAACTTCATCAGAAAATACAAAAGAAATACAAGATCAGATGATAAGTTATCACCTTGGAGAGTAAAAATATAATCAAAGGAAAATACTTCCACCCCACAAGAGATTCTATAAATGAACAAACCCACCATAAACTCTTTATCTTAAAGTTAAGCACTAAGACAAACCCTCAACTAAACAAATCATCTCCAATTCTTCCACTTCTTTCGAAGGCCCCAAGACAACATTTCCAATATTTTATAACTGTCATCAATCAATCAAGATTACCATTTCTTACACCACCTTTCTTCGCACTCAAAAATGAATCTCATCTACCAAAGAACTAGAGGTATCCCTTCAACCTTTCTCCTCCAATTCCAGAAACATCCTTTTAGCAAATTCTTCCCCACCTAGAAAGAACAAACCCGATTTCTTACTTACCACAACCTCTTTTTCAACCACACTATCTAAATTTTCTTTCCTGCCATTAACATGAACTTTGTCCTCTGGGTTATGTTTGGGGCTGTGATGTAATTAGTGGGATATTTTGGACTTTTAGTCCACCCACAACTTCTTGTTGTACATAATTTTTTAATTAATGAATCTTTTCTGTGTTGGTGATAAAAAAAAAAAAAAAGAACTTTGTCATTCATCCATTACTAACGTATCCTCCAAATCTTCTTTTCCTTCGTCTAACTGCTCACTTGAAAAATCCTTCCTCCTCATTCACCACCTGTTCGGTAACTGTCCTTGTTCAATATTTCTTCGTTTTCTTCTTAGAATTAATTCCCAGTGTTGTTCTGTAAGGGATGCCTGAATTCCTGAAAGCATCCCTTACACAATCTAAAACTTCCGTGAATCCCTACTATGATGGACGGACAGAATTGCAAATACTGTTATTAACATCAAACCAATGTTGTCAGACTTGGAAGCAAAACCATTCTGGTTACTGGGTCATGAGTCAAACAGTCCAACTGTTTGGTTTGGTTTGACCTTTCAACTTGCCCATAAAAAATACAAAAAAAGGAAAAATAAAAAATAGAAAATAGTTTCAAATTATATTTTAAAGTTATTTCACATCAAAATAAGCTTAAAATAATATACATTATTAGTTACAACAGATACTACCAGAAAAATAGGCTATAAAAGATGCTACCTTTTCTTAAAAAAAAGCAAAAAAAAAAGATGTTAATACATGTATCTGAGGTAGGTTTGACCAAGTCAACATTTCTAAGAACCATGTAGCCTAAAAACCATTTTGGCTGCTGGTTCCCAGTTGTGACAGTCCAATTGTCTTGTCCAGTCCAAGACTGACAGAAACAGTTTACAAGTTCCAAATGTGATATCAGAAAGACTAACTTACCTCCTATTAGTGCTTAGCAAAGGGTTTCTCATAATTGAGTTCTGTTAAATCATAAATGCTTACAAGATTTTTTTTTGTTTGAAAAATGAAAAATATATGTATTTACTATATTAAAATAAAGGGGAGAGCGACAAGCCCTCACCCTGATACAAAAAGTGTGCCTGTATCAATATGCACAATACATATACAATTAGCATATATATATATATATATATATATATATATATATATATATATATATATACATAAACTCAAAAAATAATGGATAAAGGATAACCAGTTATCAGAGAGCGAGCTAGCTGGCACTCCAACAAAAAGACTAGAGCACCCCGCCCAACTCCAAAGAAATCTTTCCACCTTGTCAATGATAACCTCCATGCTTCTGACTTAGATTCAAAGATTCTAAGAGAAAAGTTACTTAAACCTCCCCTGTGTTTAATGACAAATGCTTTAACCTCCGCTATACTTTGACCTCTCCAAATTCCTTGACATTTCAGAGGAATTATACAAGCAGATCCCTTTCACTAGTTTGATGTTAAAACCTAAACTACAATGATAATGTCACTTTTAAACACTTTAAAATTCCCAATTTGCCCATGAACTACAATATTGGAGTGTTTATTGACCAAAATATCCCCAAAAGGCTCTAGATATTTTTGTCAATAGACATTTCAATATTGTAATTCATGGGCGAACTGGGAATTTTAAAGCATTCCAAAGCATGGTGTCATCATTTTCAGTTAGGTTCTTAACCTCAAACTAACAGAAGGGGTCTGTTTGCATAATTTCTCTGAAATGTCAAGTGAGGAATTTGGAGAGGTCAAAGTACAGGGGATGTTAAAGCATTTGTGAGCAAGCACAGTACCTATCTTTTCTTTTTAATAGATTTTTCTTCATTACTCTTCAAAAAAAAATTGTCAGAAAACACAGCAGAAGT